AATGATGACAAATGATGACTAACTCAGTGGCCTAAAAAAGAAAAATTAAATTGAGTATTCCAAAAGTAAAGTAAATGTCAGTATATATCCCCAATATGTGTACAAGGGCTGCTACCATCTCGTTATATTAAGAATGGCTGGATACTTTCCGGACAGCATATTTATTTCTAAATTACATATGTGTACATACTACTGTTCTTACACGTTATAGACATTTGAACTATATACCAAAAAAAAGACATTTATAAGCAATTTGATTTAAAAAATAGGTTGTAAGGCAAAGTCGTAATGTGTTCTTCCTGCACCACAGCGGATCATCCCACGCACCTCACCAGGCTCACACAGGAGATTACCAGTGCAATTTACAAGAAGAACTGCACCAAGAAGCAAGTAGCCCAAACTTGCATGATGGCACTGCTGTTTGGTTTGTAAATCTACATTGTTCAGTTATCTATTCAACCTATTTCTATTACTCTGAAGAAATTAATGCGTCTGTCTCAGTTAAAGTACATAACATACAATTAGTTTAACTCTGTTTGCAATAGCGTAAATGAGGGTTAAAGATACCGTCTTTAGATTTTTACTTATGTCCCAGGAACTCAATGGAACAACAAAAACATAAGACCAAAAAAAAAAAAAAATCACCTTTGCGGTATTGGGTAATTGATTTTTTTTAGCTTTCAAAGTAGATAAAATCAACACCTTAAAAGACTTGTCTTTAACCCAGGCTTTCTTTTATTAAAGTGTACAATTGCAGGTGCATGCCTAGAGGAGTAATAGCTTGTTCCTAACGAAAGAGTCTAGATTCCACAATATGCCTTTTGCCAGAGGCATCATTCCCCAAAGCATACAGCTAACTGCATCTCCTGCTGTACCTGTAACAATTTAATTGTATAAGTCAGCCCAGTCAAGCATCTCCAGCTCATGACTGGGAGACATGAAATTCATTGTCATTATTGTCCCTGTCATTTTGGATCATTATATCCTGCTGCAGAATTTTCCTCACTTCAGTGCATTTTTACCTCCAGGAGCCAGGGATTATAGCTGAGGTTGGGGTGGGGGCAGGACCGTGAACTACATTTACCTCAAGGGAGCCAGAGATTAAATTGGCTTTGCTCTCTCACTAGCTGAATTCATCTATTTGTATGCTGTGAGTTTTAGGTTGGAATAAAAATGAATATTCTAGTGAAACCGGGCTTTAATTCCCCTTTGAAACATGGATATAACCAACTTTTATTTACATTAGAAAGCCCATGTAATTTCTTGTAGGTTGCTATTTTCATATGTGCATAAAGAACACTTGGAGGTATCATTCAATATGAAATAACAGACATCTCTCTCTGTCTTGACTTTCAGAAAGGAAGAAGTTAAAGCTATAATTTTCTTCTCCAGTTTCATTTTAGAGAGGCTTAATGGGGGTATTTAATGGTTTTAAATATTCAATGATTTTTAATTATATCTCATTTTCTGTGTACTGGATTGGATGACTGGAGTCCAACTAGAATGGCACCAAAGATCCACCCTGGGAACTGAGGATTGAAGTTGATAGAGGAAGACAAAATAAATTCCAGAGAATAACTAGCTACCCCGCAGCAGCTGGTTCACATAATCCCACAGCCTGCCAAGTTCTCCAAGCATATTATGCCTTCAACACTTCCTTCTGACATGGGAGAGCTGGCCAGGGCACCACACCCTCTACCCAGTAACCCCATTATCAGTGGTCATGGCCAGAGTCCAGTGTAAAAGTCTCCATTAGGAGAAGGCAAGGGGCTAGTAAGAAAACACTAGGATGTGTCTTCATCAGGAAGTGAGTGACTGTACATTTTCTCTAACAGAATATAAGAAGAAAACATAACTGGAAGAAAAACCTGGTATGTCACCTCCTATCCCAACTTTCATTTCATATGGATTTTACTGAGAACTTTGACATTTACTCTGTCTGCATTAAAAAAGATGATAGTTATTCCTCCATATGTATGAGATTGTTTTCCAACAGTTAACAATAAAATATGGCAATGGGTCATACTTATGCCCATGTACAGAATAGCCGCTATAATGACTTCATCAAAAGTAATGTAGAATTTATCTTATTACCTTTATGGACCTTTGTTGGAGAATAGATTTTGGCTTAATCATGTGCAAGAGCCATCAAAATTTACTTAAGATGAACTGTGCTTATGAGTAATCAAGAAAAATTTTTTGACCTTTGTACATTTTGTACGGCAGAAGGAACACCTTACAGCCCTAACATCTCTGTGTGGAAGAGACTTTAAAGGCCTTCTCAGCCCCTGGTCCAAGTTAACGGCAATGTTCGCTTGTCTGTCCCACTGTATTTTCACACCGTCATATGTCACTTTTCACTGGTGCCGAAGTAACTGTATAACATATTACTAATAAGGGTTTTTAGTTAGCAAAACTTCTTGTAGCATTAGAAGTTCATTTGATTACTTCTGCCACTTTGTCAACAGAATCAAGATTCTCCCTAGGTGAAAGTTATAAAAATTGTGATTTCTGTTCATTTTAAAATGGTTACTTTTATGCTATGTGAATTTCACTTCAATAAGTTATTTCTTAAGTAAAAAAAAAAAAAAGTTATTTCAAGCAACCTGAAGAATGCATCCTGAAATTATTTGGGTGACTGTTATTAAATTCTCATAATGATTATTTATAAAGAAAAGTATATTTTTTCCTATTAAGAAAGGCTTATCTTATAAATTAAAATGTTTAGAGTTGAGTTTGCAATACTAAAAAGTTCACAAGGATATTCTTTTCCTCTCTGAAATACCTTGTTAGCGGGATGATTCTGTACTATCATTGTTCTGGTCGGGGGTAAGGCATCCATTTTGTTTTTTGAGCGTGCATTTACTGTATTTAATTCTTTTACCTACATGCTCCTCTCCACCTTATTTCCATGTTGATATTTAATTTGCTCATCACACCCTATTACGTGAAACAAGAGTTGCCTTATCTATGAATACACCGTGAAACTGTTTCACATTCTTATTTTGCCTCATCCCAAGTATAACACAATTGGGCCCGTATCATTCCAGAATAAGGTCAAAAAAACAAATCATTTATTTCTAATGAATAGAACATAATTATTTTTACTCCTTTGGTTCAAGACTTAAGATTTTACAACCAATTTCCAAATAGCTCTTTAAAATTATTTTAAATAATAATTTGTAAATTTTTCAATAATCTTCACTAAACTCATAACTTTGCAACCTATAACAAGCTGTAACGATCATTTCTAGATTACAGAATTCTTTTTCCTCTTGATTCTAATAGAATAATTATGTAATATAGGTTTCCTTTGGTTTCTCCATGTAGAATCAACAAGAATCTATCATTCTAACAATACCAAACCAACGTAAAACAGGATGCCACAAACTCAGACATGGCATCCACTAATATTTCTGCTACGGAGATCCAGATATGTACAAGCTAATAAATAAAATTATTAGTTAGTTTCCAATACATCACATGGTATAGAAAAATTAGTAAGTATTTGAGATGGTTTGTGCAGGAGGGATTTGCAATAAGAGGCAAAGGCCACAAACATCCCCCTGTCAGGATGGGCAGGATGCTATTTACAGAATGCCTTCTTACTACTCCTGGACCAAAAACCTCTTTACTATAATCACCCAATAAACTACAATGGATTAACATTAAGGGTCTGATGCAGAGAAAGCAAATTCACGTTAAGGTTGTCCTTTAACATGTGGGCTCAATCGAGGGCACCAAAAAAGTACTTAAGTGGCCCCCCTGTGGTGTTCAGATGCTGGAAGGCACTGCAAACTGTGATTTTTCCAGCTTTTAATACTTGCTTAAGACCCTTAACATTTTTCTAATACTGTTGCTCCTAAGACATTTTGTTGAGTTTGGTCCCCCTTGCCCCCTCTGCACATATACTTTTTGCATTTATATATAAAAGCCTGACAGATTGCTGAATTGATTAAGAAATGTACATAGGAAAAAAGGGAAAAAACGTTAGGGACAGCCTTGAGGACATCCCATAATGTGAAGTATAAGTATCAAAGTCTCTTGAATAAAAAAGAAATTCTTCTTGATAAGAGTTTAGATATGTAATATTAAATATAAAAGATCACATAATGGGAGTGGAGGGCTCACTGAGATATAGGCCTGAGCCATCCTTAGCATCGCAAAATTTCTAGGACTGTGTGAACATGTGCAATTATCTGTGTCCAGCTACTTCCTTATAAATGAACATCCTTGGACTATATTTCAATCTCAAACACTCTTTAAAACTACTAGTAAAATTTCACAAATGGCTTTGCCTGTTTTGTTTTATATTGTTTTGTATCCATCACATTAAGTCTTTAGTTCTTTCAAATAAAAGTGGACAAAATTATATTGTACACATGTAAAAAAAAATGAGCATTGAACACATGGCAAATGAAACTAGGTAACGTCACTGTTAGAAAACATCTAACAACAATAAAATAAGGACTAAAAACTGAGGGCTTGGTTTAACAGATGCAATGTTCATATACCTTCAGCATATAAATTATACAGTCAAGAATTGTGTCCTATGCAAAATACAAACATGTCAATTCCAGCCCAACGGGCATTTTTGCCTAGGTTTATAACCCCTTGAAAATAGAGGTTTCATCTAGAAAATCTAACAGATCCTCAGCTGCTTTCAACATTATAATATATTCATAAGGCAGGTATTCACTAGCAAATACATAACAAATTAAATGGCATGATTATAATGATGAGAAATGGACCAAACAAACCAGAGGATACAAAGTAAAAATCAAAGAAGAAAAGGAATATGTAAAACAAACAATATTAAAGGCAAAACATTATGGGGAGTTTCTCAGCCAGTGTTAGAGAAAATGGTGAGTATGTGTGTGCATGTGCATTTGTGTGTTGTATAAAGTTAACATTCAAAGGATGCAAAACTATCTCATTAAGAATATATTATAAGGATCATGAGTGAGAGTAAAGTGTCTTGTAAGAAAAAAGTCACATACCGTCATAGTAGACAATTGCTCCTACCAGTCTGTCCTTCTGGAGCATTGGGAAATGTTCAAGGGCTCTTGATTTGCTGAGGACATAACTGCCTTTCAGGCAATTACTTCCTGCAACCAGATCATATAGCTTGATTCCTACCCAGTAGTATGGTAACTGCCACCATCTATAACATAAACAGGGGGGAAAGGTTCTTTAGAAACAGTATAACATTATAGAATGTCACCTTAAATTACAAAATGCTTTTCATTTAAGAAAAATAAAGTATACCTAGAAGTGGACTGTAAAAGAAACAGATCTGCATAACTGTTTTCTGACACCAACCTAGCTGAAGTCTGTAAGTACATGAATCAATGAGATTTTAAATGAATCTTCTCTAAAGCAGTGATTCTCAATCAACTTAGCTGCATATTAGAATTTTCTGGAGAACCTGAAATACAAAAACTGGGCCAGGTATGGCAACTCATGCCTGTAATCCCAGCATATTGGGAGGCCGAGACAGGAGGATCACTTAAGGCCAACAGTTCAAAATCAGCCTGGTAACATAGCAAGACCCCCTCTCTACAAAAAATAGAAAAATTACTTGGGTGTGATGACATGTGCCTGTAGTCCTAGCTACTTGTGGGGCTAAGACAGGAGGACCGACAAAGCTCAGGTTCTCAAGAATGCAGTGAGCTACGATCAGGCCACTGCACTCCAGCCTGGGTGACAGAGCAAGACTCTGTCTCTGAATACATACATACATACATACATACATACTGATGCCTGGGCCTCACATGTCCACAGATTGATTTAACTGGACTAGAATGGGGCCCCAGATGACTATAATGTGTACCTAAGGTTGAGAGTCACTGGTTTAAGAAGTCCTAGGCCATCTATAACAAAAGAAGGACAAAATTATAAAAATCTGTTTCTAAGTCCCCACAACACTCACGTGGCTAAAAGAGTTATATAACTCACTATTTCATATCACCTGTAACCCAACTAAAGACAACTTCACAGATAGCTCTAATAACATTAGGGAAATTGGGTTTTATAATTTATAATCCGACATCTCCTAACCAAACTTCAGTTTTGGTTAACTAAGATACTTAAAATGACTCAAAATGGCTTGGGTTTCAAGTTGGTAAATGGCAGGTTTAGATTTTGCAGCAGGATACATTTTGGCTCTGCATTTTATACTCTGCTAAGGGCGCTCTTATGTTCCTCAGTACCAACGCAGCTGTTCATCTAGATATTCTCAGAAACTGGAGCAAGAAACTACTGATTACAAATACAGAACACAACCTCCTTTGCCTTCAAGATCTGGTCCTTAGAGATGAGTGGGTAGAGAGTAATTTATGAAAAGTCACACTTTTAAATACAACAATGGGAAATATTTGAAAGGGATTAAAGATTAAGACCAATTAAAACCACATTAAAAAATATGCATTGAGAGATTATTTTCGATAAAACTGTCATTCTATTGACCTCAGATAAGCAAACAGCATACAGGTGATATCAAAAAGCTTACTTGTAAACTGGAAGCATTATAGGCAATGGAGCTGATAAATGGGGAGCAATTTCTAGTAGGTTGGCACGCTCATGAAGGGCTTCTTTTACCATCCTATACTGAAAGGCAAAACAGAGAAAATTAGTTTGGCAGTAACAGATCATAATATTTTCAAATGGCAAATAGACACCCTGCCAACTGATTGATACACAGAAACCTTCTACCTCTGAGTGAGGATAGCTCCCTCCTAATCAAATTTCTAATAATACATCATGCTGTCAACCTCAAAGATTTTTTAGAAACCTTATCTGTATTTGCATAGGAGAAAAACATGCTGTCAGAGTTCCCAGGTGTAAGATATTTTCCTGACTTGAGTTACAAGATTATTGTAGCCATTTATCTTGCACCCTCTGTATTGTCTCCCTTTCTCTGCTCCCCATAATATTTTCTCTGTGTAAGAGATAACAGATTGTTTAAATTCATGCTAAAAGTTTTCTTCTTGGCTTCACTAAACCATGCAAAGATGATACTTAACAGTTGCACAGTATTTTACGGATTATAAAAAGTCTTTTGTCTTTAATCCTGTAGTCTTCCTTATGCCTGTCTAAAGAACCAGCAGTGCTATTATAATTCTAATTTTACAAATAAGAAAACTGAGGCTCACAGATGTTAAGTAAACACAGAACACCAACGCAGAACACAAGTTAGCCTATTCCAAATCCTATGCTGTTTTCTTTGCATCCATCACGATGCCCAAGAGAAACATAAGAAAAGGGGACAGATTCAAAAGTGACTTGTCAAGGAAAAAAAAGGGGACAGATTCAAAACTTGACAATGTCAAGTCGGTGCTGCTGTGTTTTTCATGTACGAAAAGCAGATAGGGAGTTCAGCGGATTTTTTTTACCCCTCTGGGAAATGTCATCTTCCACACTGCCTTGGCAGTTTTCAAATGGTGGCAGACTGGACACAATAAAGTGTGACATAAGAAAAGCATGACTCAGATCATCTTTTCCTTAAGAATATGTCACTGTCAATATGAGCGTATGACTGCGGTTGCAGTCAAAGAGGACCAATTTGGCACTCCCCGTGCATTACAACACAGCTCCCCTGAAACTGCTTTCAAAGTAGTAATTTGGTGGCCATTGGCAAAAACCCAATCACAATTGTTAAAAGGCAACACATCCAAAAGTGATTTTGTAAATCTGCTACTTTGACATGTCTGTGTAGAAAAAGCCCCTGATTACCCATAAACATAATACTACAAGAAAGAACTGACACACCTCTCCTGAAAGATATTCCAGCGGAATACACGAAATAGGTATTTCCAATAGGGAGAAATGTTAAAAGCCATAAAAAAAAAAAAACACCTGATTTAATTGGGTAGAAAAAAAGCAGAGTCGCAATTTTTGTTTAACAACCAGCATACACAATTACCTGCTCAATATCCAACTTCATGATGGCCTTCTGAAGATACCTCACACCACCATGGATCAATTTAGTGCTTCTGCTGCTGGTCCCTGATGAGAAATCATCTCTTTCTACAAGGGCTGTTTTTAGTCCTGTGTAACCAGAAAACCAAATTAACTTCTTAAATTACACAATTTGTATGTAATTCATTAAAGGCACTTCTCCAGGGTAGAGACAATCACAAGAAAAATTACTCTGAACATGGATAAATTTGTATTCAAAGTGCAGTACACTGTCTATATTATAATGAAGAGATTTTAGGCTCTTCCTGGGGGAAAAGTCAAACCAGAACTAGAAGCATATTAAACTGTGAATGAATCACAACTAGAGAATATTACAGTACAATTTCATGACAGTAACATACTCCAGTGCATTTAGAGGGTCAAAGAAGAGCCTGACACCCATCTTTACCTATGTAGAGTTAACTGAGTGTTGTTATGAAGCCTTTTGGAACTCAAATTTCATCTCTCACTCCACGAATCTAAACATGTTCCAGCCCCTCATCTCTGGTTTAAATCTAGACTAGGCCTCCTTCTATGTGCTGAATTCTACTGAGATATGTGTCTCGGATGGTGTTATGATAGGTATAAAATGGAAAAGATATCCAAGATATCAAACAGAAGAAGAAGAGAATAATCGCTGATATTGAGGAGTTTCCACTCTAATTTAAAACATTCAAAAAAATTCGAACATGACAGTATTTTACAATTACAAAGAAATACAAGCCAGTGCAAATGAACACAGTGAGAGTACCCATGAATAAAGAAAACATTCTTGATAAGGTGAGGCTGAGCAAAGACAGATCGGTTCCAGAAGTCACCCCTGGCCCCTGTATTTGAAGGTTGCTATAGATCTCTTGGGGACAAAACTAGTTTTGTTTTGTTTGGTTACAGAGACAACCTGCCTCTTCCAGATTGGAGATGACCAGGAGTACTACAAGTGTCACACACTAGTAGAGAGATGAAGGCAAAACCTCAAAAGACCCAAAGCAGACATCAACACCAAGTCACGAGGAATTTTCATGGCCTGGCATCCCATCTCTCTTCTTGGGGGATGAGAGAATGTCACAGAATCCAATTACAATGAGAGTATGTAACCAGAGCAGTTTGGGCTCGCAAAGTTCATATAGGAGAACTTGTGCATGTATTCAATTCAGAGCCATTTATTACATTTAATACCAAAGGGTCGTTTTTATAACTTTTAACAGTTTAAATAACGTACCCAAATGTCATCATAAAATCAGGGCAATTCCCTTGACTCAAAAGGACAAAATATTTAGAAACTGTGGAAAGAAAAGTAGAGAACTTTAATTCAAGAGCAAAAACTGTTAATGCCTTAACTAGCTTGCAAAATAACACAAAAATTACAGGTATCATAGACCCAGGTCACTTATAAGCATACATGTCAGAGAAATTTCTGTAAAATTCTCAACTATTAAAACTGTAGCAATGCTTAGTAAATTTAGCACTGGATGTATTAAAAATGCAGAAAAATATTAGTACTTTTTTAAAAAATTGAGAGCCAAAGCACCAATACTGGAAACGAATCAGGCACAGACCAGGCTATGGGAGGCAAGTAAACAAAGGGCAGCGAAGCTTAATGGGGACCACATGTGAAAATAGAGGACTCACCTTACTCCAGGTTAGAAGTTAAACTCAGGACATAAACTCAGAATTGCATATAGCCAAAATTACATTTGCAAATCATAAAAATGTATGGTCTTGGTGAGCTGTATCACCTTTTCTTAGTAAGTTCAACACAGAGTTCTTCTTCCAGCACTAAAATAGACCATCTTTTCTTCAGTTGAAGATCAGATGAGGGAGTTGACTTTCAAGTGGTATTTAAGAGTCAGATTATTTAAAATAGACCTGTCTTTAAACTCTGGAATCACACTCAAGGCATCAAGATGTCCACACCGTGAGAGGCAGGGACATACGACTGAGAGAGGCCAAGCAGCCTCCCCTCCAGCCCACGGCTTCCTCACCTGGGCCTGCCCCTAAGGTATCCTACAAGCTATGGTAGATACACTTCCTAGACAGTTGCCAGTAATCCCAACTCCCTAGTATGTAACACCCTGCCCTTGAGTGTGGGTGGACCTAGCACTTTTCTTCTATTGAGCAGAACACAGCACCAGTAATAGCATGTCACTTCTGTGATTAGGTTACAAAAGATGGGGAAGTGCTCTCTCTCTCTTGCTAGTGCTCTCTGGCCCTCTCACTGGCTTGCTCAAGTGAAGCAAGCTGTCATGTGTGAGTCCAGGAAGAAAGAGAGGGCTTGTCCTCAAAGAGCTACAAGTAGAACTACCATTTGATCCAGGAATAGCACTATTAGGCATCTACCCAAAGGAACAAAAGTCATTCTATGATAAAGACATCTGCACTCGAATGTTTATGGCAGCACAATTCACTATAGCAAGGATGTGGAAACAACCCAAGTACCCGTCAATCCATGAGTGGATTAATAAAATATGGTATATGTATACGATGGACTACTACTCAATTATAAGAAACGATGCTGATCTAGCACCTCTTATATTTTCCTGGATAGAGCTTTAGCCCATCCTTCAAAGTGAGGTATCACAAGAATGGAAGAATAGGCTCCACATGCACTCGCCATCAAACTGGCACTGATCAACACTAAGGTGCTCACATGGTAGTAATATTCTTTGGGGGTAGAGGGGTTGGGGGTGGGTAAACTCACAACTAATGGACGTGGTGAGCATTGTAGGGGGGGAAGGGCACGTCTCAAATCATGGTTGGAATGTGGCAAAGTCATAACATACAACCAAAATTTTGTACCCCCATAATTTCCTGAAATAAAATAAAAGAAAAAGAAAGAGAGGCCAACCGTCAGCAGGTCACAAGGAACCCAGGTGTCAGTCCAACAACCCAGGAGGAACTAAATCCTGTCAACAACCATGTGAGTTCCTGGGAAACACTGTAAGCCTGTGAGAGACCAGAGGCAGAGGACCCAGCCAAGGCTCACCCAGATTCCCAGCACACCAAAACTGGGGGATAATAAATGTTGCTGTTTTGAGCCACCAAATTTGGGAGATAGTTTATTGGTGACCCGATTCCCTGTGTGAAGATTAACTGCAGCCAAGACTGCACCTCAGGATGGCGTCTTCAGGAAAGTCTGCAGAGGAGTCTGTGTTCAAGACTGGTGGAGGGGAGGAGTGGAATCACACACACTGGCAAAGACAAGCCTAAGGTAGAGAAGTGGCCCAGCGTATTCAGGGGCTGCTTGTCACTCGGGCTGCAGTGCAGGGCACAAGGGGCAACGTGAAGGAGTCCCCGTGGGAAGAATGGGCAAGGCAGATCACCAAGGGCTTTTGATCCACGCTGGGGCATTTGGATCCTGTCCTATGGGCCACTGTTTCTCACAAGAAAGTAATATCTAGATCTCCTCAAAAGGAAAATGCCTCTGAGAACATGGCTATTCCTGGATCAGTTTCAGAAACAAATGCTTCATTAAGGGGAAAACCAAAAAAGAGATTTGTTATCGATAACACACAAACATGAAACTGAGTGCTGTACTCAGTAACAAGGCATCCATTCTGGAGAACCAGGGTTTGCTTGTTAATTTTCTTTCATTATTACAAAGGAATACAATTTAATTTTTTTCCAGCAGTTCACAGGTATTGTTTTGAAAAACTATTAAGCTGCTTGTCAGGGGAACCATCAAAGTGTTCTAAACTGAGACTACGCATGGTGGTTTCACGCCTGTAATCCCAGCGCTTTAGGAGGCCGAGGCAGGAGGATCGCTTGAGCCCAGGAGTTGGAGGTTACAGTGAACTATGAAGACACCACTGCACTTCAGCCTGGGCAATAGAGTGAGACTCTACCGCTAAAATAAAAAAAAGAAAAAGAAAAAAGTATTTTAAGCTAAGAAATCAGAATACTGTTCTAGAAAGATTTCTCTGGCCGCAGGGATTAGGAGTGGAGCTGGAGAAGGGCTAGCGGCAGGAGATCATCGAGGGCACCGGCGCCATATAGCACGATCAGGGCAAGGAAGCATCCAGCCTCACGAGGCAGAAGATGGCACTGGAAAGTGGTACAAAGAGAGAATTTCATGGGCCATGTTGTCAGGGTGGATTTTTTTCTTTCCCAAACTGACACAGTGTGAGGCAGGGAACTACTCTAGGAATTAGCAAGCCATCTCAAGGGGATATTTCAGGATTTTTAAGTGAGAGCTAACACTTTAAAGCTCTGAAAACTGCTTTTTCCAGTATTTGGACATTTTAAAAGTTATTCACATGTACATATGTGAGAAACTCTAGTGAATACCAATGAAAGTTAAAATAGGCCTTTCTGTCAAACCAGGCTGTTTTTCCTGTCCCATTATTTCCAGTGTCTAATCATCAAGTTATCCACTAGAATTTCTGGAGAAAAATGATACTGCTCCTTCCAGAGCCAAAACTTTAAAAAATGTGGTCACTAAAGTTATGGCTAAATTGATATATGAAAACACTGTGTAACCTAAAAGTATTACTAAAAGTTTTCTGAACCACAAAAAAAGAAAAAAAAAAAGATACTCTAAAAAAAGAAAATATTTTAAAAATTTCAAATATTATATGCTAAATGTTCTGAATATCTCATATTTGTTGAATGAGAAAGAAAGAAGTAGAAAGGAGGAAAATAACACAAAATTAAGACATTATTATTTGTTATAACTGCTTCTCATAACTTACTCCTTAATTGTTAATAATTAAACAAATGCAATGAAGACAATAAAATTTTAAAAAAGCCTTTTGATGTTCCTATATGGTTCTGTTACCCAATCTGTTCCTTTCTATTTTACCTCTCCAAAAATCCAAACTATTTTCCTAACTTCAAAAAATTACTGATCTGAAATTAAGAGCTCAGTTTTCTGATATTTTAAGTATAAGGCAAGGAAAGTAGGGGGGAAAAAAGAGCTGTTTTATCCTCTCAGAGAGAGTGAAAAGTATTTTTTATATTTTAGAGACGGGATCTCAGTGTGTTGCCGAGGCTGGCCTGGAACTCCTGAGCTCAAGAGATCCTCCTGCCTCAGTCTCCCTAGTAGCTGGGGCTACAGGTATGCACTACGGTGCCCAACTCATATTTTTAAGTGA